GGGTTGTAATAAGGCATGACAAAATAACCCTAACATCAACTCTATGGCTTATTTATGTTACAATTCATCTAATATGACATAATAAACAACATAAATAACATAGAAACCTGGACTGTGGTCGCGAGAGTGGTTGCGCATTCTCGCCATGAAAACGTCAGAGGTGTTATTATAAGAGAAAACAAAGTTTGTGAGGTTAACTGAATTAGATCTGGTGTACATACGACATTTACACACCTTGGAGAAAAAATGCAGAGCGTCATAGCCTGTCAGGAGTTCACACTTTTCTTAAGAACTGCTATGTACAATTTTTTTGTTTATCTCACTACACTATGTATCTCCTGTGAGCTGTTTCTCCGTCAACCATGTCAACAGCAGCTTTTCTATCTTTTCATTGACAGAAGTCCACTGCTTAGAAATTACTTAACACCCTTTGCTGGCACTATAGCCTTTATAGACTCCTGCTTTAGTACTGTACATATAGTAGAGGGGCTACGCTTGTACTTGCTCACCAAGTCCTTAACCCTTGTACCTAGTCTGTGCTTACCAATGATTTCTTGCTTTAATTCCATGCAAATCATCCTCTTTTTCTTCTCGGCACTGTCCTTTGCACATGCTTTCTTGGGACCCATGGTTAGAATGAATAAATCTGGCGAATTAGCTGAACGAAGCGTAAGGAAATCGCGAGACTTCCTTGCACCCTGAGGGTAGCTCCGTAAGCATATGTGCACTGGTGAGCATTGTGGTAGTGTTGTCAAACTAAATTCTACACAGAACATAGTATTATTATTATAATTATTATTGTACTATCACGTATTATTATATATTTTTATTTTATTATTATATAGTATTACATTATACATTATTATTATGTATTATCATTATTAGTAGTACTTATGTATTATAATAATAATAATTATTATTATTAATTTAGGGACCTGGAGCACAGATCCATATCCATAGATCAAGAGCCCCTCACCACGTACGTACTATTACTAATAATAATTATGATAATTATAATAATAATAATAATAATACAATATAATAGTAATAATAATAATAACAGTAAGGAGAAACTTCAAAAGGCTGCCAGTAGTTGGTGCCACCATCAGCAAAACATTGGTAACCACTACAAGTACACTTTTCACCTGTCTAGACTTAAGTAGTTTATTAGTACTTGGTTAAGTCTGCCCGAAATGCCTCAGCATGATGGTGGCTTTCTTTGCTCCAATCATAATATGATATGTAAACATATTGTGACCTTTGCAAAGAAAGAAATATTTTATTTATTTAACCCTTTGACTGTTTTGGTTGTATATACAGTGGACCCCCGGTTTACGATCACCTCCCAATGCGACCAATTATGTAAGTGTATTTATGTAGGTGCGTTTGTACATGTATGTTTGGGGGTCTGAAATGGACTAATCTAATTCACAATATTCCTTATGGGAACAAATTCGTTCAGTACTGGCACCTGAACATACTTCTGGAATGAAATAATATCGTAAACCGGGGTCCACTGTATACGTCTTACGAGCCAATGTGTTTGACGTGTATATACTCAAAAACTCTAGGGGCTTCAAATCAAGCAAGAGAAAGCTGATAGGCCCACATGTGAGAAAATGGGTCTGCATGGTCAGTGTGCACTAGATAAAAAAAATCCTGCAGCACGCAGTGCATAATGAGAAAAAAAACTCAGTGTTTTTGGATTAAAGCACCGACTTTGAGGTGTATTTTCGTATAGTTTTTATGGTTATATTCTCGTTTTCGTAGACACATTTGATAGAATGGACAACATATTGTAGAAATAGAGGTGATTTTTGATTGGTTTTACTATGAAAAGGACCTTGAAATGGAGCTCAAATTAGGGGAAATGTTTGATTTTTGCCGATGTTCAAGAGTAAACAAATGATGTCATTGTCCAATAAATGTCCAACTATCCATCCTAATATGCAGTCATGGATGGGTTGACATTATTTATACAATTATTACAATATTGCAGTAGTCTGCATAACAGTAAATCTTATACTGTTTGTTCGAATAAAATTCAAAATAGAAAGCAAGAGTAATATCAGAGGGGCCTGGAGATGTGACTGATGAACAAAGAAAATGTTATTTTAGAGCCAGGAATGTCTGCATTGTTCATTCTGGACCCTATTTTGAAATTGGCATATTTTTTAATATGCATGAAATTGGCCAAATTGCCAATTTTTGACCACTTTATTGGGTAGTTGAAATTGGTAAATGGGCAATTTCTTGTACTCAGTCGATAGAACAAATGGAGTTCTAAAGAAATAGTTATGAGTTTGGTCGACTGGAGCAATGGAATTAGCCAAAAATAGGGGTCAAATTGGGCAAAATCGCTGATTCGTGCATATCGCCGAGATCACTAACTTCGCAAGAGCATAATTCCTTGTTTTCCATCAAATTTCATACTTTTGGTGGCATTACCATCGGGAAAAGATTCTCTATCATTTCATAAAAAGTTTTTTTTTTTTTTTTTCAAATATTTTGCAACACCAGGAGACACCTCAGACTGGGCAGGTGATGCAGAATACCCCACATTAAAAGTAGGGGTGCCATTGTCACACTAAGAAAACACCATAAGTGTCCAGGGCCCAAGACTGTTCAGCAGCCTCCCACCAAGCAAAAGGGGAATTATCAATAAACCCCTGGCTGTCTTCAAGAGAGAGCTGGACAGATACCTAAAGTCAGTGCCGGATTAGCCAGGCTGTGGTTTGTATTTTGGACTGCGTGCGGCCAGCAGTAACAGCCTGGTTAATCAGGCCCTGGTCCACTGGGAGGCCTGGTCGTGGGGGCGTTGATTCCCGGAATAACCTCCAGGTAGACTCCAGGTGACAGTCAAAGTGTTAAGGAACCTCCCTCGAGAGGTGTTTGCATCCTGAAATTTTGTTCGTATCCAGAAGCAAAAAATCAACTAAACGACAGTTTGTATCCTGAAAAATTCGCATGGAGGGGTGTTCGTAAGCCAAGGTTCCACTGTATATCGATGGGCCGCATAACATATCAAATGGGTATGTAGCTCAGGTGGGCTACATTGTTACACCTACCTACACCTGACTTCCTACAAATAAATGCTACTCACCTCTCACCCTACATTAAGACTGCACATATTTTAAGGTAAGTAATGAGTGTACTGTCATTTTTTTTTTCATTATGCACTGCATGCAGGATTTTTTTTTATATAGTGCACACTTACTACACAAATCTCATATGTAGGGCCAAATTTACCATCACAGCTTATGTGAGTGAGCTGAGCTCATGGCGACCGACAGTGACTTCAAAGCCACCTTATCTTTTATGGACAATGTATGGTGTATGTGCTCAACACAATGTGAAGCATTTCTTTTATTCATTGGAACCATGGCTAGGGCTAAAAGTGAGCAGGTTATAACAATAAATGGAGAAAAAGAAATTGGAATGACTTATGCAGCGAGTAGTGCTACCAAACAGTAGTGGAAGGTTGCTGTGGTGACTCCGGAAATTTGAAATTATGCTAGCCGAAATTAGTGCCAGATTACTGATGGAACCGGATTACTGATTGCCGGATTAGTGATGGCTGACCTGTAGTATAATGTGATAGGTCTATTAGTAAGGACTGAAATGACAAAACTTTTTAGGTTCACCTAAAATATCTTTATTTTATGTACAGAAAAAATCCTATTACTGACCTTATAATATGGAACATACAAATGATGCTATGCTTATGTCATGAATGTGAATAAAGGTACAAAGAGGAATGGTTTTTGTGTGAAGAAATAAAGCAAATCCAAATAGTACATGACTAATTCATTTGTAAATTTTGTGTACGATGCCAACTACACAGCATTCAATCACAACTTAAATGCTTGTAACAATATTTCTCTTCTAATGCCATCACGATCCTAAGCTAGCAGCTTCACAAAACTGGTTCAAAATGTAAAATATAGATTAATTACAGCAGTCTCAAGACTAATAGGCACCATTCAGAGAGCATTCAACTTGTGAACTTTTAAATCCTTATTATTCACTTTAATAAAGAATATTTTAAATTACCTTAAATATCATGACAATACATTACTGGTATTTACAACATTGTTTAACAAAAAGATAATTTACTTTAAGCTTTAATTACATTGGAATGAGGTATCTAATTACATGACTAAGAAACAGTTGCAAAATTACATTAATTTCTGTTAAAGAGCCATCAAAGTTGTGTGGTAGTACAGAAGTGTAAATTTAAAAGCTTGTTAAATTTCTACAAAAATAACCAGATCAAACTAGGAACTTCTCTATTACACTTTTCTATATTTGTACTACCATTTTAATATGTATAAAAGGAATGAATGATTGATGAAAACTTCCTTCAGGAATGATGTTCAAAACAACACTTCAGTAAAACAGCAAAGTATATTCACATGTCATACACAGCTTCCTTATAACTTAATGGCTTTTCTTTTAACTTCTGAGCTCTGTTGTTGCACCAATGATTGCATTACAGTACGATGGCCTTGAGCAACAGTCCCAACCCCACCAACTAATAATTGTACTCAATTGCCTAATAAGACATAATAAATTCCACAAAAAAGCAATTTTCTAGAGAAAATATGAGTATTTCCAATAATCAAAGCAGTCAATATCACTGAGAATACATTCCTCCAGATTTACTTGAAACCTCTGTGATGGACTGAGCATTCACTGATGTTGTAAATCTTAGGCACAAGCATTTTTTCCTTTGTTTGGTGTGTCACATCATTAAAGCCTTAGAAAGAAAGGGAGGAGGGAGAAAAATGCAGGAAGTTTAAAAAAAAAAGGGAGAAAGCAATAGAGTGTAAAGGGAGAAGGAAAAGATGGAGATGGAAATGTGTTTAGCATTATGAAAAAAGTTTTGAGTGCTGTTGTGTGTCAGCATTAACCCCATTTACTATCACTTCAGGTTAATTATTATACAGTTTCTTGAACTGTGGAAGTTATAACTACTGCAAATTTATAATTTCCACCTAAAGTTTATAATTTTACTACCTATCTCAGCAACCATCCAAACTTATCCAGATCAGTGTTAGTATCAATTTTTTAGTACCATTTTTTTTTTTTGGTAACACACTGGCCATCTTCCACTGAGGAAGGGTGACCCAAAAGAGAAACACTTTCATCATCATTCACACTATCACTGTCTTGCCAGAGGTGTGCAGATACAACAGTTCCGATGTTCCTCCAAGCAGCAAATATCCTCACCCCTCCTTCCGAGTGTAAGCACTGTACTTCCCACCTCCAGAACTCAAGTCTGGCTAACTGGTTTCCTTGAATCCCTCCACAAAATGTTACCTTGCTCACACTCCAACAGCTCGTCAAGTCCGAAAAACTATTTGCCTCCACTCATTCCTATTAATATGCTCACACATGCCTGCTAGATGTCCAAGCCATTTCCACACAAAACCTCCTTTACCTCCCTCCCTCCATCCTTTCCTAGGATGACTTTTACCCCACCTTCCCTCCAATACTGATTTATACACCCTCCAAGTCATCCTTCTTTGCTTCATAGATAATTACTTTTTTCCACTCTAATGTAATTCATAACCATATCATCAGTCTCCAAATTACATTTTTTATTGATTGTGATATTTTTAGTGTATGACAAAACTTGTCATACATTCAAATGTTGCAAATGCAAGGAGCCAACCTCACAAGTCACTATTCTACAGGTACTCGGCTATCAGTAATAATTTATACAAGACCTAGGTACTGCCTGATTTGCAGAGACAAAGTTCACTTTGGGTCAGTTTAAGTGAGGTTTTCGGGAAAAAAAAAAGGGTGACTTTTTTTTCTGTGACAGGAGAGGGAAGGGGGTTGAAGAGAGGTTAGGGTAAAAAGGGATACTACAAGGAGAAAAGTTTGGGTAATGAGAGGAGTTAAGGAGAATTAGGGTAAGGCAAGGAGTTAGATAAAGGTAGGAGTTTGGGAAGGTTCAAGTTAGGATATGCAAGGGATAATTTAGAGGGAAAGTTGTGGTAGGGAGGTTAGGAATATGATGTGATAAGGGAGACTAGAGGGGTATTTGGAAATGGCAGATGGTGTTTGAAAAAGTGACTGGGGAAAAGATAAGGTTAAGTGTAGTCACTTCCAGGGGTCACTACCCCTGCAACCTGGTCCCAAGCAGACCAGGTGGTGTAAGAAATGTAGAAGTGGAAAGTGGGAAAAGAAGGGAGTAAAGCAGAGGTAATATATATGTAAGGGGTTGGATAAGTAAAGGGAAATGTGTAACTTTGACCAATTTCAATGGTTCTTTTACACTCATAGTCTGGTCTGAAGTCAGACTTCCTTGTTGACTGCTTAATCATTCAAGCTGAAGCTATCAGCTGCTCACAGGCCTGCAGAGCACATGTGAGTGAGCTAGTCTAGCATTTGTTGCAGGAACTAATTCAGTATCCTACTGAAAATCTCTTATTGTTTCTGATAATATTTCATATGTCTTCCCTACAGAGATGAGGTTTAAAGAGGCTATTAGGAAGAAAAAAATATTATATAGAAATCAAGTTGAAAATACACAGAAGAAAAAAGAGAGAGGAGTAGGAGAGGGAATGGAAGGAGCAATAAGTGGGGAAAAGTGAGCTATAGGGAAGGGAAAGTGGCAAATAGAGAAGGGGTAGAAAAAGCTTGAGACAAGAACGTGGTGAGATGAAAGGAGGGCGTGATGAGGAAGAACATGCGATTATCACAGAAATGGTTTTTATGCTAAAGTAATTTTTATTTCATTTAATTTATTTAAGGAAGACATGTTGCTTCTAATTTATATGAGAGATAAGAACTAGCAATCCATTTAAGTGATTAGGATACCATTTAATAGACAAAAAACTTCATAAAAACAATTTGGCAATTACAATTCTTATACTAATGTATAAAAAACTATGGAATTTGAGATTAGGGGCTTCAATTTACAGCACCATAAGTCAACCTTGAAAAACAAAATTAATGATAAGAACAGTAAAAGTTCTTATTCACCATGCATGTTACATATTTGAAAGAATACACTTTAATGGTCACCCAGTTTTAAGATTTAATACTATAAATAATATCGAATTGGTACAATTTTATTACATGAATTGTCTTTTTCTGCACAAAAGTGCATTTTCTTTACTTATGTATGTGAAGATATGACCAACTTACACTTCAAGTAGTCTTCTTGATAGATTCAACTTTAGATAGCATAACTTGAGGAAATAAACTAAAGAGTCTTCCTAGCTGCTGCACTGTAAGCCTCATAGGAACTCCTGCACCAAGGTTTACAAAAGCATATATATTTTCTAGCTGTAAAGGAGGCTGTGGTACACGGTAAAAACTGAAACTCTGATCACATATATTGGCTGCAGTTGGTTGCAATTTTGTTGTTGACTTTACAGCTACTGTACGTTTCACTGATGATGGCACTGATTTCCTAGCTGTGTTCTTATGCCTAATCTCAGGGACAACTGGAATTCCTACAGAAGTCTTTGGGATACTCAACTCTCCACTTTGTGCCGGGGAACTTTTGCTAATCGCAGGTGTAGGCACGGGTACAAATACTGGAGGCTTTATTTCCCCAGAACTCTGACTGGTGGATGGACTGTGCACAGATGATAAAGCTTCATCCATAAGGTTTGTGATACTACACTCCAAATGTGAGTGCAAGAAGGCATGGTGAGTATGCATTTCCTGAATTGTCTCACCAACATCACCACAATAATTGCACTTAAATGGCTGTTTAATTGGAGGCCGCATCGGAGAACCTAAAGCAAGTTTTGTGAATGTAAATTCTTCAGAATTTGGATGATGACGACGAAGGTGCTGGCGGATGGATGATAAGTTCTTGACCACATGCCCACATACATCACACCTGTTAAGGTAACAATATATGTAAAGAATGAAAATAAGAAAACCTAGCTTTGGTGTACAGTGGACCCTCGTTTTTTGTAATTAATCCGTTCAAGAGAGTGACTAATGGTGAAATTGACAATATGCAAAACCATTTTCCCCATAAGAAATAATGTAAATCTAATTAATCCGTTTCAGATCAAAAGTATAAACAAAAAAATATTTTATTTACATGAAATATAGATTTACATACACAGAAAACAATGAGATATGAAGAATAAAACAATAATAATGTCACACTTGCCTTTATTGAAGACTCTTGTTGCTGTATGAATAAAATACGTCATTACGTGTGTTAGGAATTGTGGCAGTGGCAGGGGAGTGTGCTTGGAGGCAGGACAAGATAGTCATTCAATATGACACTAATATCAACTCTTTGGCTTATTTATTTATCAGAATTCATCTAATATGACATAATAACAATACAGTGGACCCCCGCATAACGATTACCTCCGAATGCGACCAATTATGTAAGTGTATTTAAGTAAGTGCGTTTGTATGTGTATGTTTGGGGGTCTGAAATTGACTAATCTACTTCACAATATTTCTTATGGGAACAAATTCGGTCAGTACTGGCACCTGAACATACTTCTGGAGTGAAAAAATATCGTTAACCGGGGGTCCACTGTATTAATCACATAGAACATGACATACAGTGGAACCTCTACTTGCGAGTTTAATCCGTTCCATGACCTTACTTGCAACTGGATTTGCTCGTTTGCAGAGTCAATTTCCCTCATTTAAATTAACTGAAATGCAATTTATCCGTTCCAGTGGAATTCTGTACTTCAATAATTTCGTTAATATCAACTCTACGGCTTATTTATCTATCTCACTTCATCTAATAAGACATAATAAGCAATATAAATAACATAGAAACCTGATACATACTCTAAAATGAATAAAGTATGTCATTCATGTGGTGGTATGGGCTGTGTCGGCGGTGGACGAGAATTTGTCTGGAGACTGGGCAGAATATTTCATGAATAATTTCGCTAATATCATCTATATGGCTTATTTATCTATCACAGTTCATCTAATATGACATAACAAACAATATGAATAACATAGAAACATGATATATACTCTAGAATGAATAAAATATATCATTATGTAACAGGTGGAGGCGGCTACAACCACTCCCTCTTTGTTGTGGTAAACACAGCCATCTAGTGACGGCCTTTTGAAGCCATCTATTATTATAATTATTATATGTAGTACATTATTATTATATACGTGTTATTATTATACATATATTATTATTATTATTTTTTTTTTTTTTTTTTTTTTTTCAACAAGTCGGCCGTCTCCCACCGAGGCAGGGTGACCCAAAAAAGAAAGAAAATCCCCAAAAAGAAAATACTTTCATCATCATTCAACACTTTCACCACACTCGCACATTATCACTGTTTTTGCAGAGGTGCTCAGAATACAACAGTCTAGAAGCATACACATATAAAGATACACAACATATCCCTCCAAACTGCCAATATCCCAAACCCCCCCTCTAAAGTGCAGGCATTGTACTTCCCACCTCCAGGACTCAAGTCCGACTATATGAAAATAACCGGTTTCCCTGAATTTTTTTTTTTTTTTTTTTTTTTTTTTCAACAAGTCGGCCGTCTCCCACCGAGGCAGGGTGACCCAAAAAAGAAAGAAAATCCCCAAAAAGAAAATACTTTCATCATCATTCAACACTTTCACCACACTCGCACATTATCACTGTTTTTGCAGAGGTGCTCAGAATACAACAGTCTAGAAGCATACACATATAAAGATACACAACATATCCCTCCAAACTGCCATTATCCCAAACCCCTCCTTTAAAGTGCAGGCATTGTACTTCCCATTTCCAGGACTCAAGTCCGACTATATGAAAATAACCGGTTTCCCTGAATCCCTTCACTAAATATTACCCTGCTCACACTCCAACAGATCGTCAGGTCCCAAGTACCATTCGTCTCCATTCACTCCTATCTAACACGCTCACGCACGCTTGCTGGAAATCCAAGCCCTTACCCACAAAACCTCCTTTACCCCCTCTCTCCAACCCTTTCGAGGACGACCCCTACCCCGCCTTCCTTCCCCTATAGATTTATATGCTTTCCATGTCATTCTACTGTGATCCATTCTCTCTAAATGACCAAACCACCTCAACAACCCCTCTTCTGCCCTCTGACTAATACTTTTATTAACTCCACACCTTCTCCTAATTTCCACACTCCGAATTTTTTGCATAATATTTACACCACACATTGCCCTTAGACAGGACATCTCCGCTGCCTCCAACCGTCTCCTTGCTGCTGCATTTACCACCAAGTTTCACACCCATATAAGAGTGTTGGTACTACTATACTTTCATACATTCCCTTCTTTGCCTCCATAGATAACGTTTTTTGACTCCACATATACCTCAACGCACACACTCACCTTTTTTCCCTCATCAATTCTATGATTAACTCATCCTTCATAAATCCATCCGCCGACACGTCAACTCCCAAGTATCTGAAAACATTCACTTCTTCCATACTCCTCCTCCCCAATTTGATATCCAATTTTTCTTTATCTAAATCATTTGACACCCTCATCACCTTACTCTTTTCTATGTTCACTTTCAACTTTCTACCTTTACACACATTCCCAAACTCATCCACTAACCTTTGCAATTTTTCTTTAGAATCTCCCATAAGCACAGTATCATCAGCAAAAAGTAACTGTGTCAATTCCCATTTTGAATTTGATTCCCCATAATTTAATCCCACCCCTCTCCAAACACCCTAGCATTTACTTCCTTTACAACCCCATCTATAAATATATTAAACAACCATGGTGACATTACACATCCCTGTCTAAGACCTACTTTTACCGGGAAGTAGTCTCCCTCTCTTCTACACACCCTAACCTGAGCCTCACTATCCTCATAAAAACTCTTTACAGCATTTAATAACTTACCACCTATTCCATATACTTGCAACATCTGCACATTGCTCCTCTATCCACTCTATCATATGCCTTTTCTAAATCCATAAATGCAATAAAAACCTCCCTATCTTTATCTAAATACTGTTCACATATATGCTTCAATGTAAACACTGATCTACACATCCCCTACCCACTCTAAAACCTCCTTGCTCATCCGCAATCCTACATTCTGTCTTACTCTAATTCTTTCAATTATAACCCTACCGTACACTTTTCCTGGTATACTCAGTAAGCTTATTCCTCTGTAATTTTTTACAGTCTCTTTTGTCCCTTTCCCTTTATATAAGGGACTATACATGCTCTCTGCCAATCCCTAGGTACCTTCCCCTCTTTCAACATTTATTAAACAAAGTACCAACCACTCAACATTATATCCCCCCTGCTTTTAACATTTCTGTCATGATCCCATCAGTTCCAGCTGCTTTACCCCTTTCATTTTACGTAATGCCTCACGTACCTCCCCACACTTACATTCTGCTCTTCTTCACTCCTAAAAGATGGTATACCTCCCTGACCAGTGCATGAAATTACTGCCTCTGTTTCTTCCTTACATTTAAAAGTTCCTCAAAAATTTCTCGCCATCTACCCAATACCTCCATCTCCCCATCTACTAACTCCCCTACTCTGTTTTTAACTGACAAATCCATATTTTCCCTAGGCTTTCTTAACTTGTTTAACTCGCTCCAAAATTTTTTCTTATTTTCATTAAAATTTCTTGACAGTGCCTCTCCCACTCTATCATCTGCTCTCCTTTTGCACTCTCTCACCACTCTTTTACCTTTCTTTTACTCTCCATATACTCTGCTCTTCTTATAAACTTCTGCTTTGTAAAAACCTCTCATAAGCTACCTTTTTCTCTTTTATCACACCCTTTACTTCATCATTCCACCAATCACTCCTCTTTCCTCCTGCCCCCACCCTCCTATAACCACAAACTTCTGCCCCACATTCTAATACTGCATTTTTTAAAACTATTCCAACCCTCTTCAACCCCCCACTACTCATCTTTGCACTAGCCCACCTTTCTGCCAATAGTCGCTTATATCTCACCCGAACTTCTCCTCCCTTAGTTTATACACTTTCACCTCCCTCTTACTTGTTGTTGCCACCTTCCTCTTTTCCCATCTACCTCTTACTCTAACTGTAGCTACAACTAAATAATGATCCGATATATCAGTTGCCCTCTATAAACATGTACATCCTGGAGCTACCCATCAACCTTTTATTCCACCAATACATAATCTAATAAACTACTTTCATTACGTGCTACATCATACCTTGTATATTTATTTATCTCTTTTTCATAAATATGTATTACTTATTACCAAATTTCTTTCTACACATAGCTCAATTAAAGGCTCCCCATTTACATTTACCCCTGGCACCCCAATTTACCTACTACTCCCTCCATAACATTTTTACCCACTTTAGCATTAAAATCCCCAACCACCATTACTCTCACACTTGATTCAAAACTCCCCACGCATTCACTCAACATTTCCCAAAATCTCTCTCTCTCCTCTACACTTCTCTCTTCTCCAGGTGCATACACGCTTATTATAACCACTTTTCACATCCAATCTTTTTTTGCTCCACATTAATCCTTGAATTAATACATTTATAGTCCCTCTTTTCCTGCCATAGCTTATCCTTCAACATTATTGCTACTCCTTCTTTAGCTCTAACTCTATTTGAAAACCCCTGACCTAATCCCATTTATTCCTCTCCACTGAAACTCTCCCACCCCCTTCAGCTTTGTTTCACTTAAAGCCAGGACATCCAGCTTTTTCTCATTCATAACATCCACAATCATCTCTTTCTTATCATCTGCACAACATCCACGCACATTCAGACTTCCCACTTTGACAATTTTCTTTTCTTATTCTTTTTAGTAATCTTTACAGGAAAAGGGGTTACTAGCCCATTGTTCCCGGCATTTTAGTTGACTTTTACAACACGCATGGCTTACGGAGGAAAGAT